TCTTTTTTTTAAAGATATATTTATGCATACAAGAGCTGGGGTACAAGCCAGAGATGTGGGGGGAGGTGTGAGAGGATTCACCAGAGACAGATTGGGGAGCAGAACAAGCAGACTGACTGAAATACACTGCTGAGGGGAGCAGCGGGTGAGACAGAGAGGTCTGCTGTGCCATGTGGGTTGCTCCCTGGCCGGCCAGTTTCGAACTCGTGCTGTAGCCTGCGGAGTGATTCATAATGTGGTGCTTAACCTCTTGCATCACCAGGGAGGCCCCACTATGTGATCTTTTAAGATTAAAAAACATAAATTTAAAAAAAAAGATTGAGCGAGTAGAAACACTTGAGGTCTTGAATTGATATCCAAGTGACTGTCTATCAGAATATCACTGTGTGATTTTAACTATATTTAAATAGCCTTGCTCTGGGCTCCACTTCAGTTTTCTTTTAATTTTGTATTTCTTGCATAATCTTTGAAGAAAGCTTGCCAACTTTTTAAAAAGTTTGAAAACTACTATTTATGATAACACTAAATATATGTAGTTAATATTATTATTAAAGTTAGTTATTGTAAGAGAACAGTACTTTATATAACTGAAGAAAGTTTTATTCCTAGATAACCATAAAAATGACCTTTTATAAATCTAAATGAATAAAAAAAAAGCCAGAAATTTAGAAGAACTCAAAGAGACAGTAGATACCATATGATAAATATGATTAAAAGTAAAGGGTTGCCTAATTTATCTTTTTATATTTTCAGTTTTCACCTTTAGTTAATCTCAAACTCTAGATCATTTAAAATTTTTATTTTATTATTACCATTATTCTAATTATGGACATACATTAATATGTTTGCAATCAGTGCTACTGTGAGATACAAACTTTTCCAGCTAAAGTTTTCAAAATAAATAGAATAGTACATTAAGCCCTAAATGATGTTTGTTAAAATGAGAGTAAATAGAAAGAGTAAGGGGCCCATCCTGATTATTATGAGAATGCTCATAAGTGACTTAAATGTGAATAATCACTGCCGTCCTACTGAGGGAAAGTAGCATATTTTTTGTAGAATAAATAGATACACAGAAACTTACATCCTCTGGTGCTACTTACTGAGTCAGTGTTCAGGCCCAGAGCCTCTTTCTGAGCCCTGCCACCATCGCCCCAGAACCCATCTGTTGCTCTTCATCTGGCTGTTGTTCCTTAGCTGAGTCCACCTCTCAGTGAGTTGCCACAAAGGACAGATTCGAAAGGTCAGAATTTCAATTCAGCACGTGCTCATGGAGTATTTACCATTATGCACCAAGCACCCTTGCAGGCAGTGACAAGTGCCCAGAACAACAGAACTTGAGAAACCGCTCTGAATAAGTGACAAGGGCTATGAAAAAAATACCAAACAAGATGATAGGCAGTGGGAAGAGGGCTCCCTGAGCTGAAATGCAGATGAAAGGATTGTCCACAAGGAGAGGTCTGGAGAGAAGTCTCTGGGACTTTCTCCAGCCTGAGGAGCTAAAGGCACCAGAGTCTTCAGAGACAGTGCTCCCAGGAGGGCAGGGAGAAGTGAAGTAACCCAGGGACAGGGCAGAGACAGTCCTGAGAGACCAGCAGTGCCCAGGTATGTGGGGTGGTAGAAATAGGAAGGCAATAGAAATGGGGAGATTAGTCAAGAGCTTATTGTAGTAATCCAGGTAAGGTAAATTTGTGGCCTGGACTAAGCTGGTCTTGAGCAAACTGGTGACAGAGTGAAATAAGGATTTGATCGGAGAGAGAATCAACTGGGTTGCTGATGACTTGAGCATAGAGTTTGAAGGAAAGGAATTAAGGATGGCCCCCCGTGTGTGCTGGGGGGTATCCGGATGCCCAGGGAGATAGCTTCACAAGATTGTCTGGTGATGGGCTGATGAGGACTGAAAATAGACCTGGAGGTTTCCACAAAGTGAAGGTCGCTGGTGAGGAGAAAAACAGCCGCAGTGAAGTGGTAGAGAAACAAATGAAAAGAGAATAGGAGGGAGGGAGGAAGCACAGCCAGTTTTATCGTGGAAAATAATGTGAAAAATGGTGCAGTAGCTGGAAGGAACTCTTCAAAAAAATACATTAAAGAAAAAAATAGTCATTTTATTAAAACAACAAGACACATACAAGCTCTTGATTGTAAATGGACTGTGAGAGGGTTTCCCCAAGGCCAGATTCATCAACTGAAACAGTATTATAATAATAAAAAAGAACCCTAGGAGACATGCAACCAGAAAAGAAAGTTATATACCAAAAATAATTACCCTGTGGAAAATAGAGAAATGTCTATAGTGCTTCATGATGTTTGTGGCCTTAAAATATAACTGATAAAAATCTCAAAATAAAGTTAGGAGGAATTAAAGACAGAGATAATCCTTTTCTTTCTCAGTCTTACTCAAATTTTCATTCATTTTTTCCCTGCCTTTCAATGACTCCCCTTTCTCTCTTCACTCTTTCCTCCTATTATTTTTCTTTCATTTTCTAAACTTTGAAAATAAGAATCATGTGTGTGTTTGATATTTACTATTGGAAGACATATTATAAAATGAGAAGGAAGAAAACAAATCCATCTATAAGTTACTTAGAAAAGATATTCCTAAAACATGAAGGCATTGAAAGGAAGTAAAAAATATAGAAAAGGATATAGCAGAAATATCGGTTATGACATATTACATTAGACTAAGACAACTGCATTAATGATGACGATGACAAAGACGTGAGGGAAAGAGAAACAGTTCACCAGGAGACTATAATAATGCTGAACCTTGATGCACCCAACAACATAGTCTGAGTGTCAGTGCCATGTCCTGCAGCCAGGCTGCTTGGATTTAATCCCAGCTCGGCACTTACTAGCTGTGACCTTAGGCAATTAATTAATCCTCTCTGTACCTCATTTTCCTCCTATTGAAAATCAGGGTACTAGCAATATCTACCTCTTCAGGTTTTATGAGGACTAAATGAAGTAATACACTGTTTACAGCAGCGTCTGCTGTCACAAACGTTGGCATTTTCATTACTGATGTTGTTAGCATTGCTTCCCTAACCCACACAAAGAAAGAACATCAACAGAATTCTAAGGAAAAATTGGCATGGCGATAACTTTAGTGGGAGATTTTTAATATATTTCTCTAAGGAAGATAAATATGTTTTAAATGTTCGTGAAAACTGCGAGGCAGCTGCAATAAAGATGTCTAAACTTACTGCCTTGTCTTTTAAATCTTTGCAAACAAAAACTAAATAAAATAATCTCTACAACAAAGCCATAAAACATAAAATTAATGAAAAATAACAACTAGGGTCCAAAAAAATGAAATGACAGAAGTTCAAGTAGATGTGATCATTGATGTGAATGTTAACATATTAAAATGCGAAGTCTTTGATAATATTAAAGCACAAACTTCATGACTTGCACTTATAAAAGAAATATGTGCCAGTACCACAGTAGGTTAAAAGAAAGAGAATTAGAAACACATGTCAGCAGGTAAATAAATACAAAGTGTGATACTTTTATCATGAAGGGAGGTTACAAGTTCAGATCAGAGACTACAACTTTGTACCTTCTGGAGCTGTGTAATGTAACAATAAGCCTTTAATTGTACAAGTAATATTCTAAAGTGTTTCAACTGCTCACGAATTACTGGGAAAATTAGCATTAAACATATTTTCTGACTTTTACTATGAATAAGCAAATTTTATGAATCTATAAGGAATATAAAATAAAAATGATGTGTGCGTATGCCTCCATCTGGGATTCATTTGAAAGGCCGGACTCCCCTGGCCCTGCTTCTCAGTTCTTGACCACTTACCTCCTGGCTGGACTGGGCAGCTCCTGAGCAGCCTGGAGACAGGCCCCCTGCTCTGGGAGCCACAGAAATCCTATTTGCCCACACTTACGGCAACACTCACACATAGTGGGCTCACTGCCAGCACCTCACAGCCAGGGGCAGGCAGGTGTGTGGCTAGCACACTGGGAAGGAGTTGAGGTGGGGGGTTCCTAAGAGCCTCCTAAATGAAAAGGGTTTTGCTTCATTATAAGGTGATAATGAGAAGCTGAGCTGAGTGCCTTCATACGGATTTCAAAGCAGGGAAGTGTTCACTTCTTCCCGGGAGTGCTACCTCCTCTGCTGTGTGGGCTTGTTGTGTCTGCCCTGAGCCTGCCCGGGGGCTTCATTACCTCCATGATCTCACTGTCCCTGCTGTCACCTTCCAGATGCTAAGTCAGGTCATGGACACATGGACACTCTGGATAGCAGGGGTCTAGGCTAGCCCAAATCTCCAGCGATGGACAGTCAGGCGCCGTCTCTTTTCTCATGCTTGAATTTTTGTTCCCTTTGCCTGTTGATGCTGAAAACTGTCACAAAGTCCTGGAGAAGTAGTCATGGAGACGTCATTGAGGGTGGAGGATACAGACATGGGAACGTGATGGAGCAGACGAGATCAGGAGTATTTTGATTTTGATTGGTCTTTTCAGTCCACTGTGTGGGTGTCTTCCCCATTTTTTTAATGGCATCCACATTCTACTTGACCCCAGGCTCCAGGGAACATCACAGAATCATGCTTTACCCCTCACTGTCGTATTTGTCAGATCCTAAAAGTCATGTTTCAAGAGCATCTCTCAATGTGCCGTCCCTATTGGATTTTTGTTAGAAATTCTAACGCTGATCTCTTTTCAACTTCATTTATTTTTTTATTCTTGTTTGTATCTTTTTAGCGTAGATTCTATGGACTTGAATGCTTTTCCACGTCACTTTCATGCCAATGGTAAAACAGTGACCAAGATACTAAAATAATCCCGGTGTAGGTTATTTATGACTTTAATCTGTTAAGATTTAAAGGTCAATGATTTTAACCTGATTGCTAAGAGAGACATGCTGGCCTTCAGGTTGTTAGATGAGTGGGTTGATAAGATCTTCCTGATAGTCTGAAGACTCTACTCCTCCTAAGGTGGGGACAGCTGTTTTCACCTGGTATTTCTTCTCTCCCCCTCTCTCCTTTCAGGTAGAAATTGAGAAGCTGGATTACCATCATTATCTGCCTCTGTTTTTTGATGGGCTCTGTGAAATGACATTTCCCTATGATTTTTTTGCTCGGCAAGGAATCCACGACATGCTGGAACACGGGGGGAACAAGATTCTCCCTGTCATTCCACAGCTCATTATCCCGATTAAAAGTAAGTACACAGGTGAAAACGCATCACTCCATTTACATAGCGCTGCTTTTGACAACTTGCTAATTAAGCAATAAAACACAACAGACTGAAGCTATCAGGTTTTGCAGGAAATTTTATAAATTAACTTACGAGGCCAGACATCCCAAATCTCCAAATACATCCCATCATCCACACTGCACTGCCTATCATGAAACTAAATTGCACAGCACTTATCCCAATTTTGAATGCTTCCTACTAGTGACATAAGCATTAACCTTAATTTATATGCCAGACTGGACAGGATGTGTCTTTGTACGCACCGTCACTAACTTCCATGTTCTTTTTATGAGGACCCTAGTTCTTAAATTACACTGTTAGCATAATTATGTTCAGTAAATTTTAGATAGTGATAGTCAAATATTTAGAAAAAAGTCTAGAATGGATAAAGATGGTATTATTAAATATGTGCATGTTTTTGATCTCTGATCGATTACCTGGAGGCACTCTAGAGTCACCGTCAAGGGCTCTGTCTGTCTATGAAGTGAGATTCCTTCTTTTATAGCCAAGATCTTGCACCTGAAGTCCCTTCTGACTCACTTTCTGAATCAGCTGCCTTCCCAGCATGTCTGAGATTTTCCTTTTCCGGTGACAGCTCCTGAATAAGGCCTTGAGTTGCTTCTGGCCCTGCCTCCTCACTTCCCTGCCACAGCTGCCACTGACCCTTGTGACAAAGCCAGCCTCCTGGCACAGGCAGGGCAAGCCAGCCTCTGCCCAAGTTCCAGTGGCTACACCTGAAAAAAAATGCAGGCACACCATGGAGATGCAGAGGATCCTGTTCTAGACCACTGCAGTCAAGCAACTATTGCCATGAAGCCCATTGTTTGAAATGTTCAATTTTTAGTGCATATTGAAGTTATGTTCACACTATACCATAATCTATTAAGTGTGAAATGACTATATGTGTTTTAAAAATGTACACACACTAAATTCCTGCTATGAGTGAGACCATCCGGTATTTTTCCTTTTCTGACTTATTTTGCTGAGCATGATCCCTTGTTGCTCCCTCCATGTTGTTGCACACTGCATGTGTTTATCTTTTTTGATTGCTGAGTAGTATTCCATGGTGTATATGGACCACATCTTCTTGATCCAGTCATCTATTTTTGGGCATTTGGGTTGTTTCCATAGCTTAGCTATTATAAATAGTGCTGCTATAAAATAAAATATTAAAAATAAAAAAGTTTAAAAAAATAAAACTTTATATATTGACATGGCATAAGTAAAAAAAAACGTACACACACTAATTAAATAATACTGTGTTATTACGAAATGCTAACCATCATCCGAGCCTTCAGCCAGTGACAATCTCTTTGCTGGGGGTGGGTCTTGCCTCAGTGTGGACGGCTGCTGATCAGTCAGGGTGTGGCCACTCAGGGTGGCTGGAGCAGTTTCTCAAAATAAAACAGCAGTGAAATTTGCTGCATCAATTCACTCTTCCTGGAAGACCTCTTTGTAGACCGCGCTGTTGGCTGCCAGTGTTTTACCCACAGTCCAGCGGCTTCCAGGACTGGAGTCCATCCTCTCAGCCCTGCTGCTGCCTTAGCAACTCTTCTATGTCGTATCCCATGTCCACTTCCATTTCCACGATGTTTGCAGTGTCTTCACCAGAAACCAGGAAAACACTTTTTTACTCAACCAGAAGAAGCAACTCCTCCTCCATTAGCTTTTTCATGAGGTGGACCCATTCAGCCCCATCTTCAGGCTCCACTTCTGATCCTAATTCTCTTGTGGCTTCTACCATATCTGAGCGACTTCCTCTCCTGATGCCTGAACCCCTCAGAGTCACCCCTGCAGCTTGCAATGTACTTTCTCACCCTCCTGTTCATGTTGATGTTTTGGCCTCCGCCCAAGATTCATGCATGTTCCTAAGTGACATCTAGCATGGAGAGTCTTTCCAGAGGTTTTCGGTTGACTTTTCCTGGTTCTATCAGAGAAATTTCTATGTCAACTATAACCTTACGGAATACATGTCTTAAACAATACAACTCGAAAGTCAAAATTACTTCTCAATCCATAGGCTGTAGAATGGATGAGTTAATGAGCATGAAAAGAGCATTAATGTCCATGTCCCTCTCCATCATTGCTCTTGGGTGACCAAGTGCCTTGTCAATGAGCTGTAATATTTTAAAAGGATATTTTTTTCTGAGCAGTGGGTCTCAACAGGGTGTAAAATATTCGCTAGACCATGTTGTGAACCAATATGCTGCCATCCGAGCTTTGTTGTTCCACTTGCAGAGCGCAGGCAGAGAATATTTAGAACCACTCTTAAGGGATCTAGCATTTTCAAGATTGCAAATAAACATTGGCCTCAGATTAAAGTCACCAGCCATATTAATTCCTAACCAAACTGGCCTCCTGTCCTTGAAGCTTTGAAGCTGGCATTGACTTCTTCTCTCCAGCTATGGCACCCTGAGTGGCATCTCCAGTATAAGGCTGTTTCTTCTACTTTGAAACTTTGTTGCTAAGTGTAGCCACTGGCATCATTATTTTAGCTAGATCTTCTGGGTAAGTGACCCCAACTTATACATCAGCATTTTCATGGTATGGAGGCATTTTTTAACTTAAACCTCATAGACCAAACTCTCCCAGTCTCAAAACTTTTCTCTGACAGATTTCTTGCCTCTCCAAGCCTGCATGTAGAACTGAAGAATTAGGCTCTGGATTAGTCTTGGCTCTAGATTAGACTTTGGCTTAAGAGATAGCTGTGTCTGGTTTGCTTCTACCCAGACCTCTCAGACTCTCTGCATATCAGCACTTGGCTGTTTTTCTTTCTTATCATTTGTGTGTTGACTGGAGCAACACTGTTCATTTCCTTCGAAAGCCCTTCCTTTGCCTTCACAACTTGGCTCACTGTTTAGCACCAGAGGCCTAGCTCGGGGCCTGTCTAGGTTTTCAACATATCTTCCTCACCGAGCATAAGCACTTCTAGCTTGGCGGTTGAATTTAGCATCATTAGAATTCTGGGCAGTTGTGCTGTGGCTGTTGAGATGGACTCACGCAGCTGGAGACTCCTGCCCCTGCTTTCTCCCTCTGGCCACTGCAGATTCCTGGTAAGTGGTATGCGGGTCTTCCTCTCACTTGAACATCTAGAGGCCATTGTGTGGCTGCTGACTGGCCTGATTTCAGCATTTCTGTGTCTCAGGGGATGGGATGCCAGTCCATCGGGCAGTAGGAACACACACAACATCATGCATGAAGTTTGCTGTCTCTTATGGGCGCAGTACATGACAGCAGCAGAGGCTGCTGGCCCCAGGCCATGGTAACAGATGAAATAATAAGGATGAGATTTGACATATTTGAGGATTTCCAAAACGCAGCACAGAGCTACAAAGTAAGCACAGGCTGTTGAAATGGTGTTTGGACATGGGTGGCCAGTTTGTAAAAACTGTGAAGTCCATGAAGTACAATAAAGCTAGGAGGGCCTGTTGGTCAACCCGGGGCCCTTCCCTGCAGCCTGGAGGATGTGACCTAACCCGCGGGCACCTCTGTAGTGGTTTCCGTGTCATCTGAATTCTGGACACTTCAGCGGTCACTGCTTGAGTGAACTAAGCTGTGGAGCTCCTGTCATGGCCTTGAGGTTTGTGTAGGAGGCCTGAGCCTGACCACTCCCGCATCCACCAGGACCGGAAAGCAAGGCAAATGCAAGGACGGGGAGAAGTAGCAGCGAAGACCACTGTGGAGAAGAACTGTGATGAGCAACTGTCCTCTTCTCACCTCTCCTGCCGGCCGCCTGCGGAGACCTGAGGAAGGCCATGCATCGTGAGAACCTCTTCCCGGGGGGTTTATTCTCTTGTACAGATCACGGTTTTTGAATACGTTAAATTCTACTTGAAGTGCCACGTTTTCCTAAAGGCTAGTGGACAGGTTTTATTGGTAGACAGAAAGTCCCAGGACATTCTCCCAGGCTCGCTCTCGAGAGTATTTTACCCTCTTGCCTCCGCCCCTTCCAGAGTGGCAGCAATCCTGGGAGTCTATTCTTGAAAACAAACTGTTCTTTTGGGGACCCCCGCCTCTCAGGAGTCCCCCTGACCTCCCCGTGGGGAACACTGAAGGGCAGAAAGAGCACTTATAATGAGGCCCATTAAGCCATTCCAAACTAGGGCATCACAGGCCAAGGTGAACTGGCTTTCAATTTTGTCTAATCTGTCATTTGAAGATGCTTAAGTGAGTTTAGAGAGACGTGGTTGTGGTCTAAGGACAAATTTTACAGCACACACACTCCAGAGGTCATTTGCTGATGAGTGAAAATGTTATTAAGAACTCAGTAAACATGATTTGTCAGGGAAATTAACTACATGTGAATGTGACAACTTGCGGGTCCGGAAGCAGTGGAAAGGGACCCGGGCAGACACCTTCGCTGATCTCCGAGTCTTTGGTTATTACTCGCTGTCCCGAATCTAACTCTACCTGTCTACACCGCTAACAGTTCAGCATGTCCTGAGAAGGAATCCTGATGAGCTATGCAAGATCATGCCTGGTTCCAGCACAGTCTGAGAAACATTATGTGCAGAAATGAAACCTTTGAGGTGGAATTCTGGAATGAGACTAATCGATCTAGAAGCAGGCTGATGTCTGTAATTGGCATAACACGTAACAGCTGTGTGTACCTTATTTTCCAAGCCTACTATTAGTGTAATTTCGACTCTCTCCAGGGGCAAGAATTAACCTCACCATCACCAGCTAGCAGCTCTTGAACAGCTTTGCCTGAATTCTAACTAGTATCTATGAAGGCAAAACAAAATGCATCAATTCCCTGCCATCTCCAAAACAGGGGTTAGCTGCCTGTTTTTAGATACTGGGGTTCATTTCAACTAATCCTAGGGCTGGTGATGCTAGAACAAGGGCCAGCGACATCCATGGCTCTGGGGATTTTAGTAAGAAAAGAGGTGAGGAGACACGTCCCTTTCTCCCCCGCTCCCACGGTCAGACCCCAGTCCTGGGACAGCCAGAACCGTGTGAGC